TGTTTAGTATTCATTAGCTTCACGGCAGAGGAGAACTGATATCAAAGGCAATGTCTACGCTTTTGTAATCAATTTTTTATCTGCTCCTTTTAGTTATTTTTTTAACTTGGAACAACAAGAATCCATGTCATTCAACAAAGTTTTAACATTAGCTGTCAAAGGCCTAACACAAAAATAAGGCTTGATGATGCCATTGTTGTTGTAGAGTACCCAAAAAAAAGAAAAAGTCTTTTTCTTATTCATTTCATTAATTTTTTTTTAATTCTCTTTCTCTTTATATATCTAACAATTCTTTGTACCAAACATAGCCTTTAAAACAAGTTGCTTGAAATTAAACATGTATTTTTGAATGGGTAAGAGTCCTTCTCAAAGCCAGTAGGTTAAAAAGGGTGTTGTAGGCATTCAACAAATTACTCTTTCCACTTACTGGTATATAATATATCAGCCAACAGTTATGAAAACTGTATTTTACTATATTTTTTTAATATTCAACAACCATATAAAATGTATGATAATTAAATAAATCACCCATATTCTCCAGTACTCTCATGTGTTCTATGTATTGCAAGGCCATTCTTAAATGCACTACCTTCCAAGATGAGATTCAAGTGGAAGAGGCACCTTGAGACTTGGAAATATGGAGCTGGACTTGACTACAAGCTCTAGATAACCTCTTTTAAGTGATGATACAGATTTAAACAGAAGATAGGGATGAGGAAGTTTGGCACTTTTTTCAAAAATATTTTTTATCAGAAAGTTTGGCGCTTTCAGTTTCTGAATAGATTCTTTCCTTGTTTATCTCTTTTTTTATTTCCATTCATTGGAAGTGACAGAATTGAAAATCATTGAAATATTTCTCTCAGAAACGTTTCTCAATCTTCCAGGGAAATATGCGACGATTTGTTTTGGTGTGATAATTTTTTTTATTTCTAGTTTTACATTTTATTCTTAATCTTAATTTTAGGAGTAAATTTAACTTGCCTCTGGTCCTTAAGATATAACCAAATTATACTAATTTCATTATTTTGAAAATGTGCATTGTCGTTTTCTTAAATGAAAAAGGTGCAATACACTGGCCTCCTTTACAGTAAAAAGATGAGGTATGGTTATGCTTGTAATGAAATACCCTAGCATCTACCTATTATTTACACAATATGACAAGTATTGAATACATATTTAACCAAGATAAAAATAGTTAATTCTACAATTGGAATAAATTTAACTAATTTTAGTTTGGAAAAAACTTATCAAAAAGTATTTTATAGAAAAACATATAAGTATGTAATATTGGAAAGACAAGTTTCGATATTTTTTTAATAAATCTTATATTAATAAAATATATCAATGTTATTCTTGACAGCATTTTAGTCAAATTTTAAGGAGAATTTATGATGTATAATTGTAACAAGACATATTTTTTGGGATAAAGGTATATTTTTATCCCTGAAACTTTTTTTAGAAGCACCAATAACTTAAAGTATTTAAAACATAGAATCCTGCACATTGACGTTAAATAGCAACAAACAGCCGTTAGAGAATGCTGACGTGGATTCTTTTTTTGGCCAAGTCGTGGACGCGTTTGACTGAGGAGAAAGGAAATAACAATCTTGACCCACTATTTTTTTATTATTATTTATTATACCCTCCAAAAGCAACCACACTATATGCTATCCCCTTCTTTTAAAAAAAAAAAAAAAAAAACCAAAAGCATTGCCTTTACTTAAAGTTCGAGTAAACATAAGCAGTAAGAAACAAAATTCTAATAAACATAAAAGTATCCAAAACCTAAGCATTAAAAACCACAGTTAGAGGTATTCATGGGGCAAGAAGAGACCGAAACACTCCTATCTCGTATCTTGTTCTAAAAAAAGATCAAAACTAAATTTTAATTTCGTATTTTGTCCTATCTCAAAAGCTGTCCCATTCCATTAAAAATTGGGACAGGACAGAGACAAGATTGGTAGAGATGAAAATATGAGTCGGGTTATGTGAGTTAGCTCGAATAATTAGTTATAAAGGTCAGGTTGGGTTGGAAAACAATTTAACCCGTGAATCATATGGGTTAACTTTGATGAGTTAGGGTTAGCTTGTTTAACTCATATTATTTTTAAAAAAAAATAGAAAAAGAACAAAGAGAAAATTTTGTGGATATAAATCATATTAGGCATGACTTACTTAACTGAATTAATTTTTATATTTTATACAAATATTATAAATTAATATTTTTATATATTTAGAATGAATCATGAGAAAATATCAAATTAAAACTTACTATTTAAATGTATTTTTTAAAAAATTTATAAAAAATAAATAAGTGTGTTGGCGGGTTAGTCGATTTAATCCACCAAACCTCAAGGGTTGGGTTGAGTTGAGTTTTTTCCAACTCATATAAAAATAGATTAAACCTAACTCAATCCACATTTCTCTTAAACTTATAGGCCGGATTAACCCATATTCCAACCTTTAGAGATCGGGATGAGATCGGGACATCTCACTGTCCTGATAAATTAGACAATATGGAAAAAAGCCTAAATAATAACATTTATTAAAATTTTAAATCACATAATTTATTAAGGTTAAACTCAAAACAACATGACTACATAAATTATAACAATTTAAAGTCAATTATTAAAGTACATCAATTACAATTATAAGTGTATAACAATATGATAGCAATTACAAGTGATCTTCAAACTATAAGAGCAACAACAATAGATAAGTCAGGCACAATATCAAGTCATTGTTCTTTTTCTTTAATTGAGATATAAAAATAAAGAAATAAATAAAATATAAACAAAAGTTATTAAATAGATAGACACAAAAATAAATTGTATTAATATAATTAATATATTATGAAAAAATATTATCATTTACTGCTTACTTTATAAGTCTATATCATTAAAATTATCAATATAAAAAATTTTTAATTTTAAATAAAAATTGTATATATTAAAATTATAATTAATATAATTAAAATAAATATAAATTATATTAATATAATTAATATATTTAATTTATATTTAAAAAATAAAAATAAAAATAATATATATAAATATAATATTCGAAACCGGATGAAACGAGAGCAATTCCCGTCCTGTATCAAATCTCTTTTTCATCTTTTTCCGTAAAGTCTCTTCTTGATTGGTTTTGAATTGAAATGAGACCCACGGGGACAGTGCCGGGCCAATCAGTACTCCCCAACCACAGCCTCCCCGACCTCCTTAATCTTCTTCTCTGCATTCTTGGAAACAAGCTTGGCCTTCACCACACCAAGCTGGTTCTCCGGCAAAACTCCTTTACCCAAAACCTTTAAGTACCCATAACGACGTGACATTGATGAAGATTGTCCTTGGAGGCTTTACCTTTCACCTCATTAAGAACCAATGACCAGAGCTTGTCGATGCTGACAATGGGGCAGTAGAACTTGTTGCAAAGCTTATAAAAGCAGTGCATACCCCTTTCCCGAAGTAACCAAGGTGATACTTGCCGAAGAGGATTCTATGGTGGTGGTGCAATAGAACTTGTTGCTCCCTGTGCTTGCCGATCCGACCGTGACCGGCACTCCCATGTCGTCATCTCCGATTTGTCTCCGCAAAAGCTTCTCTTCTCTGAGGCATCGGTGGCACTGGCACATCCCCTCCTTTAAGATACATCAAAATATTCTCTTCTTCACTTCCCTACCTGCCATTTTCTTCTACTTCCCCTATTCAAACCCACTGCATAACACATATCACCTTCTCGTCTTTCCTTCTCATTCATGCTCGCTTTCATCCCCTGTTGCGAAGCTGAGCTTTTCTCTGTTTCTTTGGTTTGAAATATAAACATGACGATGCGGTAGAGATGACTATGACTATGACTATGAGAACGGCTTAATCGTGAGGCATAATCTTGGGGGGCATTCAAATAATGATACTGTGTTGCTGTGACCTTCGAACATCTACTGTTGTCTTCCTCACCATCGTCACTCTGAACGTCCTCCACACAGTTCGCCCAAGTCGCCGCAGTCACTCCATAGTTGAGAATGGAAGAAGGTTGAAGAAGCTCGACTGGTCGTGGAAATTTGAAAAATCATTGTGGGTGTTTTAATCAGCAAAATTAATTTTTTAGGACAAATATGATTTTCCAGGTGTTTATTGTAGAGAAAATGCACAAAACATGGGGCCCACCAAATTGACTGTAACGGACGTGTAGGGTAATGAATGCTACATTTTAATCATTTGAAGGGTGAAAATACTGTGCGAAATACGTTCGAATATTGGGTGCTGCTTAAAAAAAAAAAAAAACTTCAAAGACAAGAATAAACCTTTACCTTTTTTTTCGTATACTATTCATAATTTTTGAACAATGTTGACTATTATAAACATATTATATATATCTATATATATTATCGACATCTTTTTTTTTTTTTCCGTAAATTTCAAGTGTGAAATGCTGTTCAACGAACAATAAAAGCAATAATTTCATCACACGACTTTTTTTTTGTTAGAGAACAAAATTTAATACACATTAACTAACATCTATTAATAACTATATAATCATAAATATAAACTTATGACATCAAATAAATATAATCTTAAATTTTTAATTATAAAAAAAATATTTTTAACACAAGCAAGAAACGCTAGAATAAGATGAACCATGCATTTCCCTTTTTAGTGCTCTAACCTGATTAACTATATAATAATTTGCAACTGACTTTTCAAAATTTAACATAAAATGTTTTAACGAAAAGGAATGATTATGTAATATTATATGATTATTAAGGACTTAAATCTACCAATTTTTCTGTGCATCACCAGGGATACTATATCTAGTTGACATTGATAAAAGGATTTAAAAAAAAAAAAAGCATTTAAACATCTCTTATATAATAAAGTGTAATTTACTTTGACGCAAAAGAGTGTGCTTAAATAAAACGAGCTGTTTCTAAGTTTGCAATAGGGACCTATGTGCTGTTATACATAGACTACTTCACAAGAAGAGACACTGATACACCAGAGTGAGAAATTTCACTTTCATATCAAATTTCATACGTATCAAATACCTCTCAAAGTGTCATCTTATTTTAAGAGGGTAAAAAATCTTGATATAAAGGAATTATTTGATCATTCAAACAACACTATCACACATGTAATGACATAATTTTACAGCATATTCTAGTTTGTATATTCACTCTTATTCTTCAAATTCTACTGCAACACAAAATAGCCCCTGGCACACTCCAAGATGCCCGCCTATGTATGTACTATCTCCTATTTCAGCATCTTCAACAGAAAAAGGATGAAGAAAAATAAAGAAAAACGGTGTCAATCAGAAGTTTTGGCACCAAACATTTTAGACAGTTCCTTTATAATTGGCTTCTGCTTGAGATCTGTTTCTCTTTCCAAATGCCATTTCTTATTCAAATTCTCAGCCTGCATACCAAATAATGCCCAGGCTCATCATGCTCATGCCATTAAAGATTAAAGAATATTCATAAGTTGAGATGAATATGATTCAGAACATACCCAAATTTTCAAGGGGCCTAATAGCACTCTGATATTCTCGAATTTTGGCTCAACTGCGTCTTTTCCTCTAGTTTTGATGTCATCAAGCTGTCAAAACAATTAAGGCTTCGTGTAAATAAGCATTTAATATTATCAATTCATATACCCAAAGGAGAAGAGAAAGATCAACAAAATGAAAAGATGCAATGGCTCAGACCCACAATCCTAAGGTTATATACATCTGGGAGTTGGAAGTAGAAAGGAAAGGAAGAAAATCAGTGAAATTTTTATATCTCTAAAAGATAACAACATATTTATATTCTTAACAATAAACTGCAAAAAAATGTTAATCAAATAAATAAATTGGTTGAATGGTTTTCAAATTTATAGTAATAATTACTAGTTGGCCAAAAAAAAAGGGCAATAATTACTGGTTACATATTATGAATTAGCTAAAATGTTAGACCAACAAATCATCTTTTATCACTGGATTGGCAATAATCCAGTTCTGAAAACATAAATAATTTAATTATACTTACGTTTTTCAGATCTAATTTGGAGGCTACCATTCCAAATACCAATGTAGCTCCACCAAATACTAATGCAGTGGCAACAGCAAATGCCTTTCCAACTACAAAAACAAGAATGAAACATAAGCAGCAATAGAAAAATTGGTCCCTAAGGGATATCCCCAAAAGAAAGCTCAATACCACTGGCATGGTGCAATAAGTCCAGCATAATCGAAATAAGTGTCAGCATATGGCCAATAAAAAGAAGAATAATGCAAAAGGCATTGCAAACGAAAATAAGGTAATTTTCAATGCATTCTCTCGAAAGATAAAATCTCAAGATATGTGAGTCTTCACATATGAATGCTTAGAATATATGACCAATTTGGTCATTTTCAGAAAACAGTTTCAGTTATAATACTTTATTTGTTCATAGTACTTTCCTTTCCCTTCAGGTTTTTCTAGCTTTCTTTTCCTTTTTGCTTGATTTTCTTCAGAAATTAGCTTTTCTGGAAAGTGTTTACAATCAGGATTTCTTTTGTTTTATTGGGATTGAAGTCTATAGAAGTAAGATTCCAAGCAGGAATATAGAGTTTCCTTTGGCACCAACTTTCAAACCCGTGCCCTGCCAGTTCAGTGCAAAGCAAAAAACCACAAAGCCACAATTCAGGAGTATAAAGCATTCTATTGAGAAGTTTTAGCAAATTCAATTCTTTCAAGTATGAATCTTTGATAGCTTTTAATGTCAGACTCAGAAATCATCTCATCCTATTTCTTATGAAAATATTAAAACCAAAAAAGCTTATTTGTTTTCATTTTATTGTTAATCCTGTTTACGTTCCAGAATCTAAATTCTAAACCTTCAAACCAAATGCATATTCCCCAAAGAAACCCAAAGATTCTTATAACTTGTTTCATCTATATTCAATATTCATACATACATATAAGTAATACATTAATTCATAATTTCTCTAGACAAATAGAAAACCTTAAGCTTAAGCTCAATCTTAAAATACAAGACCCCTCTAACAGCACCAACAACGTTTAAAATGTCACTGATTATTTGATGTAATAAATCGAGCAGCCTATTTTTGACAAAACTAAATATTTTCTTCATGTTGCTTCAAAAATAGAAGTCCAAGGATCTATCATTTTCTGCCTCAATTGTCAAGAATTGCCACCACAATTTTACTTTTAATCTAAATGCCAAGAAGGATAAAGCATCTACAGGAATGCAAAACCAACTGACAGCTTTTGCCAAATAACAAGACATAAAGAACAACAAAATGCACCATTTGCAAGCCCTTCAGCTGCCGCTTTTATCTTCTCCGGATTAATAGGTGTAGTGTGCCTATCTCGATGCAATTCATTAGCAGTAGAGGCTGAAACCGAGTGTGACATTTCAGGCAATTCCCATCTACAACCATTGAGTTACAAAACATTCTAAGAAACTCTCATTTTAAACCAACAACAAAACGGAGTATTCACCGCTTGAAGAACAGAAAACGAAAAGAGAGCCTAGAAAATGAGTTAAGCACTAGAGGTAACAAATTCAATACGCCAGCGATCTATGAAAACATAATGTTAGAGACTTCAAGCTTTAGTTTACCCGTGTAGAGAAGAAACGACGATAAATGTTGAAAACTAGGAACAACTATCAGAGGTCCTTCTCCAACAGGGCAAAACAAATCCCCAGCAATGAAATGATATGCAGGTAAATGAGCATTAATTTATCTTTTAAAAAAAAACGACATGTACCCTCTCAATTTCTTGAGAAATTGACAGCGTCTATCAAGATACAATGCGTGCCAATCAACACACTAAATGTAGAATTCACAATTTAAATGACTCCAGGGTCCACACATGATGTGTATATTTCTCTCGGAAATTCACACTTCAAATAGTGAAATTTAGAAGAACTTCAAAAGGCATCAAATCCAACAGAAAAAGAAAAAAAATCGGATCACTGACCAGCATTACGCTTTTAGCACTAAACAAACCCAGAATCTAAACCCAAGTGCTGGATATTAAAGCAATTGAATTTATTTCTAATTATGAACTTCAAAAGCGTTACCAATTCCCATCCCACCACAGCACCTAGAGAGAGAGAGAGAGAGAGAGAGAGAGAGAGAGAACCTTTTGGGACCAAAAGTGACTTGAGGGAGGGAAAGATAAGCTCTGAGAGGGTTGAGAACATCAGGAGACACAGAAGAGGCAGCTTTGGATTGGGAAGGAAGGACCCATTTGGAGGGATTGAAGGAGGAGGAAACGGTGTCGTCCCTGAAAACCTTAGAGGGCAAGGAGTGTCGTAGGACCTCAGGAAGCACGTCGGCGTGATGCTGCCCTTCGTGCTCCGCAGAAGAGGAAGTAACCGCCTCGAGGCTTTTGTTGGCGTTGGGATTTTTCTGCACTAATTTTCCCACCGCTTGTTTGGATTCCTGAAAGAAATACGCTGCCTCTTTCCCTGCTAGTCTTCCCGCGAGAAAACTCATCCTTTTTCAGAGTCCAGTCCGCAATTCCTAGTTTCCGTTTCGCATCAATACGATACTGTACGATCGCCCGAGTTTTTTGGACGGTTCGTTCCTAGCGACGTGTCTATATTCATATATGTCTGTGTGTGACTCTGTGTTCTCGCGTATAAACAAAACCAGGGTTTTGGCTGAGTATAAAAAGTAAAAACAAATTTTAACTAGCTACGAAATTGAAAAGTAAGGTAATACTAATAGATATGTCAGAAATTAAAATTTTTGAAGTAAAATGACATTGTAGTTATTTTTATATTTTATCATCCGGTATCCTAAAAAACATACTTTTTATGTTTAAAAATGTAAGACATTTTTTGAAAAATTAGATGTTAAAAAATATAAGGCATTTTTAATTTTTTGAGGTATAATTATTGTCTTTTTTTTAAAATGCTCCCATTAATAATGACTTTATATTTATTATAGGGTGTTTAATAGGAATAAATATAAAAAAGATAGAGTTAGTTGAAAAGTAGGTAACTACTTTATTGAGAATGAGATTCAATTAAAAATACCTTATATTTTTAAATGAAGAGAATAAGATATTATTATCTCTTTCTTAGACTAACTCAAACCTTCAATGCATGTGACATTTATTATCAACAATGGCCCTATGAGTGTTTTAGAGATATGCATTTGATATTTTTATTTAATGTGATTATATATTTCAAAATTCGAATTTGAGAATTCAAAATAAGTTAATTCCAATACTTTGTGATTAATCTTTAGCATGAAAAAATGCTTGTCTAATAAAAATAATTTATAATTTTATAAAAAAAATTTTAAAAATCTCATAAGTAACTCCTTTTCAGCCAATTATAAATAATTCTTGAAAATTATTATTTTGTGCATAAGAAACATGAGGAATCATTTTTTCTTGCATTAATGAAATTGGAGGGAGTGTGTGTGTTTATATATACATACACACACAACAACAATAAATCTTATCCCATTAAATGAAGTGAGTTATATGGATTGCACGACACACACAAATATATCATGTCAAAAAAATTTATCCATACACATACACACATATATTATAAGATTAGTGTATGTTTGTGTATATTTATGAAAATTTTTAAATTTTAAATTATACATAGATAACTTTTTAGGTGTCAAAACTTGGCCATAAATTTTAGTTTTTTAATTTATGAAATAATTTATATTAATTAATTTTTTTTAATTGAGTACAAGATATTCTTCTATTAAAAATAATATTGTTTGAGACATAGTTGGCTCATGCACAGTTTGATAAATAAAAAAAATGCTTTCTATAAAGGGAATTGAAAAATTACCTTATACATTTTCTCTCTAGATACACTTTAACATAATTGGTGCATGATATATCGTGAGACCATGCCGCAAACAAAAAATAAATAAATGAGACTTATAGTAAAAGAAAGTATGGTAAACACAGACTCATGATAAAAATGGTAGGCATGAGCCTATCATTTATTCCTTGCATTTTATATACATATAAGATAATAAATTGTATAATAAAATATAAAATTTTTATGAGAAAAATAAAAATCATAAAATAGAAATTTTTTTTGTTTAAGTTGTAGGATAAAATCCAAAGTTAAATAAACAAAAATTTTAAATTTTAATTTATAAAAAAAAAATGAGATAAAAATTTTCTTAAAATATGTAAATGACAATAAAATTTTATAAAATGCGAAAAAAATTTTCAAGTCTTTAAAAATCTTTCTAGCATTAAAAATTGCAATAATATTGCAAGTTGGTTAGCATCTTTAAGAAATGAAATATGAAGGAATTACAAATAAAGGCCTTTTAATATTGTAAATAACTAATCACGACTACAAAATTATGACATTACACTTTAAGATTATCGTCTTTTTGTAGTTTTAATTAACCCAACAATAGTCTAACAATTTAAATTATCATCCCGATTTCAATTCAATGAATAGTCTCTTTTTCAAACTTCAAAAAAAAAAAAAAAACAGACAGAATAATTCCTTGGATGTCAAGTAATGGAAGATGCTGCCAATACTATGTGCTTTTTTGTCACAATCACAAATATAAAAAGATATACTTTTAAGAATACTTGGAGGTAAAGCCAATGTAATTTGTCGGATTTATGTGCACGCTTGGCCCCACGCAACCATGTAAGAAACATATCTGCATATACGGCCCATAAATAATTCAACGCTTTTTTTAAAAAAAAATTCGGAATTCAACGCTCTTCTCAAGTATGGGATAATGGGGCATTTATAAAAGTAAATAATAGGGAAAATGACAATTCGGACTCTCTAAGGTCATTAATTATAATTAATTATTTTAAATTATTAAAATTAAAATTTTAATAAAACATCATGGTGTTTACTTGGAATTTAAAAAATGTCAATAGTCTAAAATACCTTTAAAATATTATTTTAGTAAATTTTTAAGTGATTATTATATATTCACAAATATTTTTAGAAAGTTTTAAAAATGAATTTTAATTTTATACTTTCTCTGTTAAAAAATGTAAGGCATTTTTTGTGAGATTGGATATTAAAAAATGTAAAATATTTTTAATCTTTTAAAGTATAATCATTATCTTTTCTCAAAAGTGCCTCTATTGATAATGAGTTTACATTTATTGTAGGGTGTTTAATAGAAAAAATTATGAAAAGATATGATTAGTTAAAAAGTAAGTAATTATTTTATTGGAGATAAAATTTGATTAAAAATGCCTTATATTTTTTAAGAAAAGGAGTAATGAAAAACTATTATTTATTAATTTCTCAATCGAGATTAACAATATTATCATCCTATAATTGTAATTTTAGCTATGTCATTTTTTGTTTTTTAAGTTGAGAGCAATTTTATAATTTATATATGTTTTTAATTTCAAGTAATGATCAAAGTGCATTATTAGGATTTGAATAATTTATTATCCTTAATTATCATTTTTTTAAATAATATTTACTCTGGTTTCTAACATAAGACATATTCAATTGATTCATTTAGGTGACATGTTTGATTTAAGATATAAAGATAAAATTAATAATTTTAATTAAGGATAATTTGGGATTTCTATAATTTTTTTAAGGAAATCAAGACCCTTAATTAATTTTAACCAACTTTCTCAATCCGCACGATTCAGTTAAAAGTACTAAACAAACAGTCATTAATTAGTGTAGAATAGTATAGAAAATTCTGGAGAAAAAAAAAAGAATAGTAGAGAAAACAAAAAACACTAAATCCGGTTCTTAATATAAGATACATTTAATTAACTTCACTTTTATAAAAAATAATAATTATATCCTTAAAATTATTGAAAATTATGTACTTTTTTAATTTTGTCCTTCTTTGCAATAATAAGCATATTAAATTGTTATCTAAGAATGAAAACCATAATAAATAAACAAAAAGTAAAATTAATTAATTACTTTAATTTTATCTTATATTAAAGACAAAAAAAACTATAAAAATTTTCCTTATATTAATGATATGGAGGCAGTATATAAATAGATAAGCACGCTAATAATAATATGATGCTCCCCTAACAAGGGTAAATGACATGAAGAGAAGCGAATTAAATAATTATACTGAAATTTCTACATCCTTTTTTGGCATAATTTTTAGGAAATTATTATAAATTGCAAGTTTATCCTAATAATTATAAAATTGAAAACTAAACTTATAAATTCCTGTATTTTAACACTGGAACTAAAGTTGAATTAATTAATCTTTTTAAGAAATCTTTCTCATTCTCCCTAATAATTACGGAGTTGGATTTTCTCCTCAACAAAGGAAAGTAGAGGAGAGATCAGTGCAAATCTGGATCATTAAATTAAATTTAAAAATTTAAATTTAATAATTTTTAAAAATATAAATTTAATTTGAACAACTCAAATTTACAGTGAAGCTAGTTGGGGAAACAAAAAAAGCAAAAGAGAAAAACCCACCCAATAATTACGCCCAATTCATTATTTTTTGTCATTTTCTCATTTTGAGAGAGTTTTGTGACATTTTCCCTTTCTATAATATTGTCTTGAAAAAAATATTTGATGGCCTATTTTTAAAATGGATTTAGACAACTAGGGTTGAGTTGGCTGATTTTGTTATTTAGAATGCCATTTTATAAACTCGACTCACTTTTTATCGGCTTAAGCAAGTGCAAATGTTTTGGTATATGAACAAATGTTCTTAATTTAAAAAAAATGAAATATTCTATTTATTTATTTTAAATACATTTCCCTGTAAAAAAAAGTACTTTTTTAATATGCCATGCAATAAGTCTATCACGTATTCTTGATATTCTTGATCGTATACAAATTACAAATGATATGATATTATAATAATATAAGTTATAAGATAATTTTTAAACAAACATAACTTTCGATCCTTATATTTTGTTTAAATTTTACTATAAATTTTTATATTTTTTTTATATTCCATGTCCCTATAATTTTTTTCCAATATTTCAGATCCTTTATGAGCAGTATTATAAAAAATTAAAATATAAAAAAAATGTAAAGATATAAAATATTAAAAAAATATAAGAATTTATAATAAAATTTGAATAAAATATAAGAATCTAAAGTTATATTTTTTTATAATTTATCCTTGGCATGCTACAAACAGAAGTTGGGTGTGCCAACTAGATAACCATATGAGACTAAAGACATTCGGAAAAAACACACGCACACATATATATCATTGAATCAGCGAATTAGTAAGACATTACGGCTATATTTTAAGTCCCAAAACCTTGACTTCATATATATACACATAGAGAGAGAGAGAGAGAGAGGAGAGAGAGAGAGAGAGATTGATCTATTTACTTGGGAGCCAAGAAGGTAGAGAAAAACATTTTCAATATCTTAGCTTGGAGGAGTTATCAATTAATAAATTGTCATCTTTTTCCAAAAGTGGAATTCCTTTTCTCTTATTTTATTTTGAATTTGTTTCACTTTCACTTGATCAAATTTCTTCATCAAAACATTTTTTTAATTAAATATTTTACATATGTTTTGAAGGGGATATTATTTTTGATACTTTTTGTAATGATTTTTGGGATTATATATTCCCCTAAATTCATTGTAAAAAATTTTGGAGTATAAATTATAAGT